TCACTGCGGGTGAAGGAACCATAGAGGTTCTCACACATGCACAGAGATAACACGCAAACTCCATGTCAGGATTTGAGCTGCAAACCTTTCTGCTGTAAGGCGACAGTGCTACCAGTTTTTATCTATTTACTCATGAATGTTCACTCGAGCCTCACTTTGAAAACACTGATTTATCCCTTTAATTAGTGATTTCAGCTTGCCGTTAGGTGTGGTTGTCTGCCATGTGTCTCTCTGTTAGTCCTGCGATCTTTCCTGGGTGTACCCCGCCTGCTGTCTGTTAACTATTTCAGGGAGAACCACCAGCCTCCTCCGACTGAACAGGAGGTTAATAGGAAAAGAAAAACCTTTGGTTATATCTATAGTACTCTACAACTGCAAAGAAAAGCTTGACTTGGTCCTAAAAACTTAATCGAATTCTTGATTATCACCTTTATGGAAAGATAAACAATGTCTGTGGGATTTACCATCAACTAAAGTGCTACTTTAAAATGTTTCAAGCTAATTCGTTGGGCCACCATGGGTAATCAGAGTTAGTATTACGCTGTGGAAATCATGCAATTACATAAATGCTAGAGCTGTTCAGATATTTTAGTTTCAGGTGAGTAAATACTCCGACTACCAGTCGACAGTCTGACTCCCAGACTCTTACTGAAACTAAGGGTTCCTCCCTGAAGAAAGCAGGAGCAACCTTTCATGTTTATTTCTCAAGTAATACCCTTTTATCATACCAGAGTAATTAGATGTTATGAGCTACCAAATCTCCAGCTATGCAAAGTCAGCAACATTAACTCCTTCTTCTCACTTTGCTGCAATTTTTAATTTGACCATTTTATGGTTTTGTGCTCTTCATATTAACACAACTTTAAAGAAATACGTTCACCTGCATGTGCTTTCTGAGTGTCAGCGCTAGCCTTTCCCTGGGTTGTACAGCAGAGCGATGAGAGCTAACAGAGCTGGAGAGGCACCGGCATCCCACCGTTCGCCTGGACAGAGGGTCCATTCATCCCCTCACGTCCCCTCAGTCATTCCCTACAGACCTCAATTTGTCGGCCAACCTGCCCAACATTTGCTGAGGAAATGTTCACTTAGTGCAGGAAATCTGAGGTTTCACTTCGCACGTTTGATTCCAGCGGTTGCCCAAACAACAAACGGGGGTACGAGTCAGGTCAGGAAAACAAGGGTGGGAACTAAACCCAAAGGAGCCGTGAAACCTCATTTCACCAGTATCAGATACTAGCTAAATCTTCTAAAGGCTCACTTAGGTAGTATTTACTTTATTTATTTTTTGACATGCATGGCATCAGACATTTATAAGCCCAATTTGACTGAAATATTATAAAAAATTCATTAAAATATTTTAGTTCAACGTTAGAATTTTAGCCAAAGAGCTTCTGATTAAATTATTTTCAAAATGTGGTTATGCTATTTTTGTTTGTACCATCTAATGTGTACAAGATACAGAGCAAAGCCCCAACCTGTGTTTACAAAAAGGTAACAAAAAAATATATATTTACAACAAAGAAATGTGTTCACCTAACCAAACTGGTCCATAACTTTAATATTGTTTTTTTTTTTCTTTTTTTTTTGGTCATTCAAACTCGAGTTTGTTGCTGTTTTACTGATCAACATCCTTCTACATAACCCTAACGCAACTGAACTCAAAGTCCCAAGCTGACAGCTCAATGTTATGGTTTATCATTTTTTAGTCACAATGGAGAACTAATAGTTCAATCAATCAAAGTACATTTGGAAAGAGCACTGAGTTCTGTTACTTTTCAAAGAATAATGTATTCTAGGTAGACAATTGTCTAATCCAAGTCTAACTGTGGGTTCTGGGTTGGTAGAGTGCCATTTACATCACCAGCTCTTGCATTTTTGAGAATGTTGTTGTTTTATGTTGACAGGAAAAAGAGACAAAAATTGTTTGGAATTCTGTTTAATCAAAGTGATGATGCTAACAGTTATCTTCTGCAGGCAAAATATGTCAATATACGGTCATCACCTCTCACATAATTATTATTCATAATATCTGAACTACCACTTTAAAAGAAAGTTTTATTCCTATTAAGACCAGCCTAAATTTCAGAAGATAGGTATAAAACATAATTCAATGTCCAAGCTCTTTTATATCATAATAGTTTACAAGTAAGATCCAAACGACAACAGAAAATTCATAACATTTTCCATGCAGCTGATCCAATTCTCCATCTTTTCATATCAATATTTCCACACTTAGAGAAAGTGAGACCGTCTACATATTAATAATAATAATAATAATAATAATAATAATAATAATAATAATTCACATTAAACAAAGTACAAATATGAAATCACATCTGCCTCCTCGAAATCATACACTGTACAGTAGCTACATCAACCTATTGGCAAGTCTTTCTCCACCAAGTTTTCGCACTTTCATTATCATCCTGCGGGGGCGGTAGTGAGCAGCAGTCTCCTTACAGTTTCTTCTTAGCCAGCTGGGCCAGCTCTCTGGCTTTCTTTCTCTTCAGCTTCTTTTTGAGGATGAGTAGGTTGATGTAGACGATTTGATCCAGCACAGTGGAGGCGCAGAGGAGTCCTCCATGCAGAGCGCCAGCAATCCCACAGCTGAACACATCTTGGCCTGAAAGAAAGAGAGAGAGAGAAAAAAAGACGCTTTATTTTTCTGCTTTTCTTGTGTATAACAAACCCTAATATAACAGCAAACCATTCACTGATGAAGTCAGTTCACAACAAAACTCCCTACACACTGTCTATTTCAGTATGTTACAATTTAAAAAGAGATTTCTCTGTCTGTGACAAATACTCAAAGGAAGAGGCTGGAACATTTTCCACACCTGAGATGTAGAGGTTCTTAACAGGAGTGCTGCTTCTGTTCCTGGCTACAGCCTCAGCATAGAAACGCTCCACGTTGTGTTCGGCAGAGTACATGGCTCCACGCTGAGCACCCAGGTAGTGCATGTTGGTCAGCGGAGTTGCCACATCTTGGAAAACAAGCTGAAGAACAGTTTTTCCAAATTAATGTCAAAAAGATTATGTTGTTTTAAATGACTTGAACATTCAATTACCCATAAGGAAAATGTTTCTATATATACATATTTTGATAGATTTTACCTTGTCTTTGATTTTAGGAAACAGAGTACAGGCCCAGTCAAAGAGGTTCTTTGTGAATCTCATTTTGTAGTTGTAGTAGTCATCACCTCTTCTGCGCACGGTAGTGTCCTTCCACTCTTCAAACCATTCATATTTGACCATGGTCAGTATTGTCATACAAGACTTTCCTGGAAGCATAACAGACAGCACGTGTTTGTTATTTTGAGTCAGATTTAAGAACAGAAAAAAGATTCCTGTCGCCATTTTTGGTGTCAAAATCAGGAATGAAGCAACTTTATTTACCTGGATGACGTATATTGGCTTCAGGATCTTTTGCAGAGGGTACTGTGATGAACATCATCGGGATGTTATCAGGTGCTTCCTCTTTGCTCAATGCAAAAAAGTCCTCCATCCTACAAAATCGATAATAACATTTTTGATGTTTATTTTACTGACTTACTCAAGGGGGCTGCATACAAATACAGGCCAAACTTTTCAGACTTTGTTGTAGACTTTGAGAGCCACGTCTCCTTTTCTTCCACTTTGCAATTATGCACTACTTTGTGTCAGTCTGTCACAGAGAAGATCCCATTAAAATACATCAAAGTTTGTGGTATGTGACAACATTTTTAAAAAGTTCACGGGTGAAGGGTATAACGAGTTTCACACTGCAGCACTCTGTGTGACCAAGTTTTCTAGTTTCTCTTTATGCAATAGCACCCTCTTGTGGCAAATACGTTCAAGTCCTATGCCTTATTTGATTTCTTCTACTCACGACTTATCCATGTCGTTGTCTTTGAAGAGCCAGAAATTTGTAGAGACAAGACCCAGGTCCTCTGCAGTTCCATCAAAGCCAGAAAAGATCAACATTGATCCTCTGCCATGTCTCATCATGCTCAGTCTTTCCTGAATATCTACGAAGTGGAACCTTTATAAACAACTTAGAATATCTTTGCATCCCACCTTTACTTTGGGTCGAAGCAGTTCCTCGGCATACTGACCATGTCTGACGCGAATCTCAGGTGGTAGGAGTTTTTGGAAAGTGGTAAAGACGCCACAGTTTGAAACCACCACAGGTGCGTGGACCTCAACTTCCTCCTGGCCTTTCTTCACCTTCACACCTACCAAACACAGACTGAAAGTAAAGTCTTGACCTTCAGCGAGCGGAAACGATCTGGTTTCACTTCTCACCATAGGCCGCGCCCTTCTCATCAACCAGGATCTGAGAGACAGGAGCTCTGACCAGGCAGCTCCCTCCATATTTCTGAATAGTTCTGATGATGTGGAAGGCGATCTCACTGGATCCACCTTTTGGGTAGTAGGCACCTCGTTTGTAGTGATGCATCAGGAGGGCGTTGATCAAAATGCTGGATTCCTTTGGAGGCACACCTAAAGGGGACGTGAATAGCATTCTAGGGAGTAAATTTCAAGGACTTATGATTGATATTCCCTTTTAATAAACTTTGAACGCTGACTTTGAGACACACCATAGAAAAAGTAAGAAAAGATGACTTGGAGGTCTTTGTTTTTGGTCAGGGTGTCCATGTAGCCAGTCGCTGGTGTGCCAGATAGACGGAAGACTGGAGAGATGAGATCTGCAATGCCTGACTTCAGCAGAAGCAAAGAGACCCACTGAGGAATCAGCTTCATGGTTGCCAGGTAGTGGGTTTTCTTAGCTGAGAGCTGTTGCAACATGAAAGACATTTATTAGACTCTTTAAAACACAAAATGTTAGATTGCTTTACCATAATCAATACCTTCATGATTTTGAAGAATTTCTCAATGGCCTCTGTCTCGTTTGGAAATTGCTCGATCAGGCGGGCTTTCATTTCATGTTTTCCAGTGAAAATCTTGTACTCCCGCCTCTCATCACCACTGCCGATTTGGACAGTGTCGACATGCGGCTGCAGCTCCTGGAACTCCAGCTGACCCTCAGTGATCTGGTCAAAGGCAATTCGAAGCATACTGTTTTCATGGACTTGACCGATGTAATGAAGACCTGAAGATGAAGAGTGACAGACAAGGTCCTCAACTAATTTTACTCAAGTGCCAACAAAGAACATGAGAGAAACAAATTATGCAAGAGAAAAAAATTATGCAAATGGAACTGAATCATCCATTGTACATGAACAGAAAAAATATTTTTTTTTCTAAAGGAAGTTAGAAAAGTGGCAGCTTAAAAATTGTATGACTTAAGGACACCTTAAAACAAACTTATTCTGGTGGTTAGCAGGTTATTATTTTGGGTATATTTGTGTGTTAGAATGTCCTAGTCAAGGTCCAGATGTAAACTCAACTGAGAATCTATGGCAAAATTTGAAAACTGAAGTTCACAGATGCTTTTCACCTGATCTGATTGAGGTTGGGAGGCTTTTCAATTTTGCATAGTAGAATGAGCGAAAAACATCAGTTTCTATACAAAGCACTTGTAGACATACCTCAAATTATTGACAAACTGGGATTGAATACTAATGCTTTGCACTTTGCAAGTTTTGTGAGCTGAAAAGTTTTGAAAATCAGATTCTGCTTTTTGTTTAGTTCCACAATTCTGTACTATTTGGTTTTGTCCTGTCCTGTCACCTGGAATCTTAGTGTATTTTACTACGATTCCAGTAAACACGTTAATTGTATATGTGGCTTTTGAGACATTTTGCATTAAGTTTAATTCTTCTTTTTATGACACAGTTGGAGAACACAGAGATCTGGCTTTCCTTTAATCGACAACCACAATCAGACCTGAAGCTGTTTTGAAATTATATGGAAAGATTCCTTACCAACATCAAACTCAAAGCCCTTCTCTATGTAAGTGTGGCAGCAGCCTCCAGCCTGGTCATGCTGTTCCAGGACCAGAACCTTCTTTCCTGCTTTAGCAAGCGTGGCGGCGGCTGACAGTCCACCGATTCCACTTCCGATTACAATCACATCCAGGTTCTGGGGCACTTTGTCGACACTGAAACCTGGACAGCAACACGCAGGAATGTCTTTAGTTATCAGGTTTTGTTCCACTCTGTAATCTTACAAAAGTGTTGAGATTGACACATCAGTACGAGTTACATAACTGTTTTTCAGAGCGCAGTCTGAAGGTTGGCTTTCAGGTCATAAATACTGAAGATGTGACAATGCAGCATATGGGGTCCTGTTATCAAAATTTCCAATTTCCGACCTGATTTAGATAAAACACCCATAAATATGTAGTCACACTTTTGCTAATTTAGATATGATCTCCAGTTTGATAAATGGTACGCAAAGAAAGTGTTTATACACATGTGTTGGTTCAAATCCATAGTGGTCATAGCATAAGTAAAACAGTTTCAGGAGAAATAAAAGGGGAAAAAAAATCTAACTCACAGAAAGTACTGGCTGAAAATAAAACTCGCTTCAATTGGAAATAAATTAAGCACCATGGATTTAATCACACTTCTGAAGAAGTCATATTCAGCAAATAAAAATATCCAGGGCTTGTTTGTCAGATTAAAAGTACTTTTGGTTTGCAGTTGGTTTCAGAGGAAGAAAATCAGGCAGCTAGCACATAGCTGATAATTTGTTCAAAGAAATCAAGATCAGACTTCCTATTTGAGGCTCCTGATTGGTTTGAAGGTAACTTGTTTGGTAAAACAGAATTAAAATCACTTCTGAACAATTTACGAGACTTGTTTTTCCCAAAACAGGAGATCCCTTGAAGCTATACTAACAAAGATATTCAGTAAATGGGTACATAGTGGTGCAGTGAGCAGAACTGGGCCTGCATGGATTTTACATGTTCTTCTCATTCACTTTGGCTTCCTCATACAATTAAAAAAGCATAACTGTCTCTCTAAGTTCCCACATTGTATTAGCATTTTTTTTTGTACTGTGTGCCCCTGGGATGAACTGGTGACCTGTCCAAGGTGCACATACCATGGACAGTGGTTTATGACCACTGTAGATGGGTACCAGCCCCCCTCATGGTTCATAAAATAACACTTTACTTTACATCAGTAGGTCTATTACCAATAAATTTACTGAGAAATATGCTGACATATTCAACATTTGCATTAGCTTTACCTTGTTTGATGACTTTGTCTCTCTTCTTCTGGTCAAACTCACGGGGTGCTGGGGGTCTCACAGACTTCAGGGAGAACGGACTGGGCTTCCCGAATAGGTACCAGTAGGTGCCACCGGCCCATATAACCAACCAGACTAAAAGAATCAGCAGCCACATTTTTGAGTAAAATGAGATACGCCGACAGAGTCCTCAGCTGTACTGCACAACAAATGGTTCAGAAGTCTCCAAAGAAGAGCCAAAGGTCTGGGGACTGATACGAAACACTATCTGCGTTACAAAGAGCAGTAAAGATAAAGCAAAGAAAGACCCACTTATTTATGATTACAAAGCATACACAGACCTTCAATAATAACTGTACAGAGCAATATAAAATAATGTTCACTCTGTTTTTCTGAATGTTTTTCATTAGATTGTCCTTCAGCTTGGCCACATTTTGATAAAGTATTTGATGGATCACATGCAAACATTTCTACTTGTGTTCCCCAAATTCTCCAAACTGGGCAGCAACTCATATGTTTGCTTTTTTTTTTTTTTTTTTTTTAACAAGCATATTTTTACATTCACATTTACCAGTACAATAACTAAAACTAATGTTTTCCAGTTTATTTGTTGATTAGCTTAAAAGAATAACTGGAACACTCAAAGAGCATGGAGGAAATCAGAATTGATTAGAAAAATCCTTGTGAAATTGCTTTTATCTGATAAGGCAATTAAGATCATTTGCCTCTACAGATGTTTGCAGACTTTATACATGTCATTACAACAGCGCAGCTGATTAGATCAGTGGGTTTCAGAATCCAGGTAATGTCACACATAGACTTTACCCTGAATAACTTGGCAATAAAAACTTCTCCTATGAAAATTGAGAAAACACAATTCATAAGTAATCCTTCCATACCTGTAAGAGTGTCATTTCACTGTAGAGACAAAAGTATTCAAGATTTTCGACATTTTGCCACAACTTAGATTTTAATTGCATGCACAAAACAAAGCAATGGATACTTTTCAGACACACAGAAAATAAATAGTTTGAGGACTGTGATGAGGTTTTGTATTCAGTCCTGCTGGGTCTGTACATTATAGAATCACTTTTGTTCAAATCACAGCTGCAGGCTTTTTGGGGCAATGTCGTTGCCTACTTTGACATTTATGCTAATAATTGTTTTATTTTATCCCAGTTTTTATTTTTATTGTAGTATTTGCAATATTCTAAACACCCCCTGTCTTACTCAACTTTTTGTTTATTTCATAAAGTTTTGGGGCATAAATTATCTGTCATGATGTTGATGTTATAAAATTGTATGTATTTAATTTTATTAAAGTAAATATTCTATTCTATAATTCATTTTATTCTATTTATAGAATACTTAGTAGTGCATTATGTTGAATAAAGTCACAAACTTTCACTTAATCTAAGTACCTGATTAAGCTAAACCTGTGTGATCCTGCATGCATTGAGTTTTGATCGTCCTTCTAGTTATGGTCCTTAAAAGAGAGACAAATTATTTCTTTTGCTACAAAGGAAAGAGAAATTCCGTTTATTCAGGACTCAGGCTGAAACTAATTGGATGAAGCGAGCAGATTGGAAGCTAATGAAGAGTGAAAAAAGGCTTAAAGACTTTGAAACAGGAAGCCACTCTGTGTAAACAGGCCGGCTTGACCAACCGTGCTGAACCAAAGAAAATCCTATTAAGGTTAAATTCATTTGGAGGCTTTGGAGGTTTTGCCCTGTTATGCACAGTAACATGGGTCAGCAAACACTGACCAGTAAACATGTTTTCACTGCTTCTTTGCATAAACTGAAAAGGTTAAAAAAATAAAAAAAGACCTGAACATCAGTGATAAAAGCAGACAGAAGATATTTAAATCTATTTTTATTTATTTACAAATTAAACCCACTGTCATGCTGACAACTACAGTGCTGATAGGAACGCTGATATACACCTTCTGTTTCTTTAATTTATACATTTAAATCAGAAAAACAAAAAAACACTACACAGAAACCATCTCTGACAGAAATAGAATCTCTTCCTTGGATGATTGTGTGCTATGTTACAGTGCAGCCTCCTTTGTCTCCCTTGTAAGGGTTCTTGTCATCTGGAACTCCCTTAATCAGCGGATCGCTTGGCAAGAGTCCTTCAACGTAAGCAATTGTGTCAGCACAATTTGCACTCACCTGTTGAGGAGGAAATATGAGACACTGTAAACATGTGGCCAAAAACAACATAACATTAAACTGTTTGATTTTTTTTTTTTGTTTGTTTTGTTTTTTTTGTTTAGGATTGATAGAGCGAGCTTTAGCAGCTACATGAGAGCAAGGTTGTTAGAATTAGATACTCACTGCTGTTCTTGGTGTGCTCACTTCCTTTTTCAATTGTTCCAGTTCCATTTTCAAGATTTCCTTGTCTGACATATCCCGAGCCATCCTGGCTGAGGAGAGAAAACAAAGTACTGGCTTCCAAAGGTTTCAAGGATAATAGCGACTCCCTAAATGGTTTTCTTTTGTGGTGTCTGTAGATTCGTCCAGGTAGCCTTTCGTCTTTCACTTCCTAAATCAAATAAAAGCAACAAAATGAATGTTTCTTGAGTGTTTACCTGTCGAATGGCGGGATCCCCAATGCTCAGAGAAATGTTTTGGCTCCTAAGAGCTCCTTGACTGTGCGCCTTCCTGCCGTCTGGCTGCCTCTCTCCACTAACTGAGCAGTGCTGTCCCACTGCTCCTCATTTACAGCTGATCCCCGTCACCGGCTTTCGTTTGAGGTCGCCACCAGATTGGAGGACCTGATGTCACCAATCCCCAGTGATGAGATTAAACAATCAAGGAACTTAAATCCTGAAACAGGAAGAGCCCCCTCACCGGCTACACGCAGAAAGCGAGAATATGACATTCAAAAAGTGAATTCACAGCATCACCTGTACTTAAGTTGTCATAGAGGAATACCTAGCAGAGTGCTTTTCAATCTACCATCTAACAATAAAGAATGAAAAAATTACAAATCCACCAAGAAATGGACGCTCATCTCTTTTGCAAAGTAGAATGAGCTAAATTCTTGTTCTCGGAATCTCCAAAATTGATAGAGGTAGACTCAGAAAAGGTTGCAGGTATAGTTGCAGTGGAAGATGGTTATAGAGTATCTAATCACCCTGGATGGATGGATGGATGGATGGATGGATGGATGGATGGATGGATGGATGGAAGGAAGGAAGGAAGGAAGGAAGGAAGGAAGGAAAGAAGGCCTCTTAGTGTTTGATTGATTACTTTGCACATTTACCACCTTCTGTTTTATGCACGTCTTCAGAAAAGCATAAATCCTATACATAAACATGAAATGGGTTTTATTGTTGTTCTTTTTTATTTACAGCACTCTCTTGCCATCACCTCGTTATGACATTTGATGTGGGATACATGACAAGCCAGTGATCAGCAGCTCAGCCTTCCGCAGGACTCACACTAAGTCATTTCCAGGATCTGGGTTAGTACTCAGGATTAACCCCACACACGTCACATGGATTACCGGGTTGGAGATGCTTCTTATGAATGTGGGCAGAGTCACTGTGCACCTAGTGGGCTGTCTTTCTTTTATGGATAAAGGGAAACAGCAACTTTCTAAAAGAAACCTTTCTTTGTTATTGTATTGATGTAGTTATTAAACAAATATACATGATTATTTTGAACATTTGTATCACCATGTCTATATATACATGGAGATTTATTTATTTATTTATTTATTTATTTATTTATTTATTTATTTATTTATTTATTTATCAGATTACAGAATTTTCCTGGACTTACAGAGTCCTGGATTTATTAATGTTTGCTAATTTATTTATTTGATACATTGAATCTTTCGAATGAATTATAAAGTCTTTATAATTATCCATTTATTGACTGATTATCAAACTAGATTTTTTTTTTTCCAATTCAGTTCGTAAGTATCGTATATCAGTAACTATAACTAACCTGTTGTAAAAAATTTAATAATTAAATTTGTCCTCTAGATGGCGGACAAGGTCTCTTTTTACAATATATATCGCAACATGTAGACAGTCTTAGCCAATCAGAACGCTTTACCTGGGAACTTGACCGCTTCTTCAAAATAAAAGCTTTCCTGTGTCCCTTTGAATGGCAGCAGCTGGCTCACTGGCAGCAACGTGGGACAGCCACATTCTTTTAATTTGACACGTACAGGGTGTTTATTGGTCGGAAGTTCAAGTATCTGGTAGGTTGACTGGCGGATGGGATACATGAGCTGGAGCTATGGCAGGTCCTAGTAGGAAGCAGATGTTAAGGTTTCTCGGCCAACTTGGGGCGTTTATTCTGACCCGGTTCGGATTCTGGAACTGCTTCAGTATGCTGATGCTGTTCGCTGAAAGAGCGGACTCAAAGAGGTAAAAGTAGCGTGTAGTTTGACGCAGAGCTTCCAGCTAACCTTAGCTGAGCGAGCTAACGGCAGTTCAAGGCAACTTCTGTGAAAAAAGCAACTTTATGACTTCATAAATACCTGGAGCTAATCCCGGTTGATAAATATTAGAAGAGAGAAAAACATTCAGTGCACGAATTTATGTCTCTTTTCCGTTGTTTGTGGCACACCAAGTATCTAAATGAGCTGTATTTTACTTGCACAATTGAAAAGCTGGCTTTAAATGTTCCTTTATGTTCAAATAGCAGTTTATATTTAACTTAATAATCTTTAAAATTTAGCCCAACAGATCCTTGGACAACTTCCTACACCAACTGACTGTGCTTCCATTTCTCTGTGTGGTTGGGTTCCTGAAACCCCACACATCCACACCCCTCCAACTTCTCCTGTAATTATATGCTATAAGAAGGCACTAATGGAGGCCATGTTCGTACTAAGCAGAGTTTTAACTTTATACTCTTAAACTTTTTTAAATCTGCTTGAGTAAATTACATTAGGTTATTAGGTGCCAGGTTATCAGTGCTCAGTACAGTTTCATTACAGCTTTCTTCAGTTTAGTCTTAAAAAGTTTTTTGCAAGTATGTCTTAATAAATTAGAGTATGATTGAAAAAAAATGTGCTTCCTTTATTATATAGAGTCCTTACACACAGTGGAAAAATATATATATACTTGCTGTAGAGACAATGAAAACTCCAAATGAAGTCGGTCAGAAAATTATCGTTAGTTTATTTTATAACTACAAGAAAAGGGGGAATTTTAATGTCTACATGCTGCCCTACATCCAAAGCATTATTAGAATAATTGGTATTATTCAGAATTCCATTAATTAGGAACAAGACATAAAGCACACAAGGCAGTATTACATTCAGGAAAAACAACTACTGCCCCTCTCTAGTAACCCCTTTAACTTGAAAGCTAATTAGCAGTTTCAACCCTCGGTAGCCTTTTAAAAAGTAAAAGATACAGTTATGTGAAGTCACACTATATAATAATATAAGATATAGTAGGTCACAAAGCAACTGAATAAACAGCATAACGTAGATATTAAGTCTCCTGATTCTCTTTCCTCTCCAGAAAACCGGACATCCATGTACCATACTTGTATATTGACATGGGAGTAGCCGTCCTCTGCGCTAGTTTCATGTCATTTGGAGTGAAGAGGAGGTGGTTTGCTCTGGCTGCCGCCATGCAGCTGGCCATCAGCACTTATGCATCCTACATCGGAGAGCAGGTGCATTATGGGGACTGGCTAAAGGTGAGTGAAGCTCCTTGATTTACAGCGTTGAGTCAACTTCATCCACAAAGCAAGTGAAAAAGCGCAACATGCTTTACGTAGAAAACAAGTATTAAAAAAAAAGACAAGATTAAACCATTAAAGAAATTATAACAGAATACATATAACATCGTACAGCCTCAAACGATTTAAAAGAACAGTAGAGCTGAATATCGGCATAAAAATGGTATAAATATATTTGTACTGAGTTACACTTTCTGTTTTGATCATATTCATCTAGCAGATCTATGATCTGGGAAGGACTCATTAGAAAATGAGCCAAGCTTTGAGAAGGATCAATATGGAAAGAAGATCTGATTTTGTAACTTAAGTCAAATCGCTTTTTATTTTGATCAATCATCTTTTCAATTCATCCACGCATGCGTCTGGTCATTGATACTTCTGTTCAACCATTGATTAAGCAGGCAATCTATCCATCAGTATGTCCATTTATCCTTTTGTCCATACGTCTAACCTTTCATCAGTCTAACGATCCCATCATGCAGGTTCTATATTTAATCTTGAGCTCATAAATTGACTGCATACTCTGAGTTTTGAAAACTGTTAAATATCTTCTTGCAGAACGTGTAGGAACATTTCCATATTCAACACCGATCCTTGTTGTGCTGCAGGTCCGGATGTACTCCAGAGCGCTAGCCATCATCGGGGGCTTCCTGGTCCTGGCCAGCGGAGCGGGGGAAGTCTACAGGCAGAAGGCCCGCAGCAGATCGCTGCAGTCCACTGGGCAGGTCTTTGTGGGAATCTATCTCATCTGCATGGTGAGGCTCTTTGATTGGAAGAAGAATGTGCTTCATGGCTTTTTTTTTTTTATTATTTTATTTTTCTGTTACCTTACCTGCACTTCCACATTTTCTCCACTAGGTGTACTCGTTGCGGCACAGTAACGAGGACAGACAGGCCTACCTGAACCACATTGCTGGGGGCGAGCTCACTCTGATGCTGATAGAGGTGCTGTTTGGCGTTCTTGCTCTGGCCTTCCTCACCGGGTACTACATCCGGATGGCCGCTCAGATCCTGACCACCATCCTTCCCCTGGTCATCCTGCTCATCGACGGAAACCTCGGATACTGGCACAACAACCGCAAGGTGGAGTTCTGGAACCAGATGAAGCTGATCGGCCACAACGTGGGGATTTTCGGCGCCGTGCTCATCCTGGCCACCGACGGGTAGAACTCTCTGGCTTTTAAAGACAGTTTTTTTACAAATGGGAGCGTCTGTGCAGAATGAGATTGTTGTGGCTGGATTGTGCCGGAAGCTGCTGCCCGCCTCAGGATTTAAAGCGCCCAGCTTGTGAGAGCTCAGACGGTTCATCATTAGCTACCAGATGGCTGCCTTCCTTCTACAAGAAAAACACGTTTCCTTTATACTTTTTAAATAGCAAATGGTTTTATTTATTTGGTTTCTTGTTTACATTTTGTTATGCTCTGAAACTTTACAACATGAGTGAGTATTATGCATTTGCTGGGAGCTTTTACTTCCCTGGGAAACCCTGAATATCACAATTCATGTTTTAAAATTTTCAAGTAAATGAAAACTGTTCTATAATGGTATGTTGCTTTTAAGATGTACAAAAATGTTTGTTTTTTTAATAAATTTAAAGTACAATATCAACTTACAAAATACTGGGCACATCATTTATATGTAGCAATAGTATTATCTGCTGCTTTACCGTGTTGGACAGATTAACTACAAGCATTTGTTACAAAAATGCACCAGATTTTCTTTGTTGTTTGATCTGTCAGATGAAATTTTTTTTTTCTTTTAAAGATTATAAGGCATAAAAGAGGAAACAATTTTGTAGGCTCTTTAATAAAAGGTGTTGGCTTTGCATCCAATAGAAACTGAAGGATGAAAACTTTTCTCCTTGTGTTGCAATTATGCAATATTCTAGATGTTGCGCACATAATATTGCATAATTACAGCAACAAAAACCAAAGAGACCGCTGCAGATTTAAGGTATGACATCAGCTGGATTTATTCCAAAACTGCATTAAACACAAGATGAAATTTATTCGCTACTTGGGCGACGTCTGGAAGTAAGTGGTTGCGTTGGACTTTTTTTTTTAAAGTGGTATGAGAGCAAACTTTTAGTGAATTTTTTTTAATATACATTAAAAAATGGAAAACTATTGATTTCCTTCCATTCCACAGTAAAACACAACTTTGGATTAGTCTAGCCAATAAAAAGCCCAGTGGAATATGTTTACATTTATGCTGATGACATGATTCAATATGAAAAACATTTAAGTTTCAATATTTTTGCAAGCAATTGTGGAAAGCCTTTCAGTAAAACTAGTCAAAGGACAGAAAATAATGAAAAAGTTTTGGATTGTTTTCCACTAACTAAAAAAAAAAAAAAAAAAACCCGCTTGGTCTTTCTCCAGTGGCTGCTTCATGTAGCGTCTGCAGGAGGCCGTCTGTGTGTGTCAGAGCTCCATCCTTTAACCAGTCACTTGTCTGCAGATTCTGCATCACTTGCAGCTTGTTTGTTCTTGCGGTTGCGCTCAGCTTTGACCAGCGCACCGATCACTGCCAGCATCACGGTGATGGTGATGACCAGCACCGACGCTGTCTCCGCCATGCACAGCTGGCTGTCCATGGACGCGAGGGGGCTCCCGGCCTGCTGCGGAGGGGCGTGGCAGAGGATGGCCTTGTAGTCCTCCACATGCAGGTGTCGCACGTACTGGATCTTACCAAAGACGCGCTGCAGGTCGCAGTCGCAGGTCCAGGGGTTGAGGGACATCTGCAGGTGGGTGCTGACGGTCTGCAGCTTCAGGAAGGTCTTGAACTTGATGTGCTGCAGCCGATTTCCGCGGAGGCCCAGCAGGGTCAGACCGCGGAGAGGGGCCAGAGCTTCGGCCTCGATCGCCGAGATGTTGTTGTGGCCGAGCAGGAGAACCTCCAGGCTCTGCTGGCGGCTCAGCAGCCCGTCTTTGAGTATGTTCAGCCTGTTTCCCTCCAAGTGCAGGAGGCGCAGTCGAGAGAGGCTGTGGAAAGCCCTGGCGTCTATCGTTCGGATGCGGTTGTAGCTCAGGTCGAGCTTCCTCAGGTTGTCGCAGTTTCTCAGGGAGGAGGAGTCGACATGCTGCATCAGGTTGTGGTCCAGCCGCAGCTCCTGGAGGGAGGTCAGATGGAGAGTGAAGTCCTGAGGCAGCCAACGCAGTCGGTTGAAGCTCAGGTCCAGCTTCTCCAGAAACTGCAGGGATGAAAGGGACTGAAACACAGACAGCCAGTAAGAAAGGGTCACTCTGAACTGGTAAGCACATTTTTCTTCTTTTGTTTGTTTAGCACAAATAAATTCAGAGTACAAAGATTCAGAGTACAAGTCCATCATAGGTATTACATTCAAAAAATGAAACCGTTTTCAAACTGAAATGTAATGTCCTGGCCTAACTATTGTGGGTGAGTGCTGTATCTAACCTTAATAAAGGAAGGTGGGGTGGAAGGATGAAGTGCGGCAGTACAGTACGGTGCATTTACTGTACAGTACAACTGTACCCTGCTTCAGTAAACTTGAAGTAGGATACAGCTTCAAGTTTATACTATTCAATAAACTTGAAGCTTTGAATTTTTTTTTCTTGATCTCTGTTTTTATGAGAAACATTTTTTTTTACATTTTCATTATCCCATCCACTCTGAGTCTGATGAATCTAAATAACATAATATAGTTTCATAATTTTGAAATAACTGGAATAATTGAATCTTCCAATTGTATTTTATGTCAATAAGATGTGTTAAACGTTGCAGATTAGAATGGAAACAATTAACTATGGAAAAAGTGAAGAAAAGCATAATAGTTATTAAGACAAATAGCTCAATATTCCCATAAAATTTTAAATAATAATTCAGTCTGGAAAACAATGTATTTGGATAACTTTCTTCCCTTCCCATTAAAAAAAGGGTAAATGATCATTTTAATGTGTTACATACTTGTGTTATTTATAAAAATGAAAGCTGAACAAAATAAATAAAGCAGACCATTAGAAAGATATTTTAGCAAAGATCCTCTATTTTCTCTACAGACAAGAACGTAGTTACTTTTCTGTGTTGCTCAGTTTTATTCAACGTGGAAAAAAACAACAACAAAAAAAAATTAGGTATTTGGATGTCTCTTTCGAAAACAATAACTGTTTGGTAAATATTCAACACAATTACATACAAAGTCCCAGTGTGAATTTGCATTCACTCATCGACAATTCATCAACAAGGGTGACATATAAACCATTTCAGGGTGGATTAATAAAACATGCAATTTAAATAATTTTGAAAACGACAGATAGATGCAGAAGTTTGGAATGTCCTACAAAATGTTCTCTAATTCATAATTGGTCAAAGATATTTTTACTCTACGTTTAGGGAATCTCACTAAAATGACCGTTTCACTTTCTGAAAGAATACTGTTTCACTTTTACGCAAAACTGCAAATTAAAACTGTAATTTAGAAACACGCGTAGACTCAACCCCATTTAAAAAGAAGAAGAAGGGGGGTGAGGGGGAGCTTTCCCATACCTGTGGATGCACAGCATGTATGCTGTTGTTGGACATCAGCAGAAACTTCAGCGACCACAGTCCCAAGAACGAATCACTGCGCACCTCTCTCACCCTGTTCCCACTGAGATCCAGCAGCCAAGTGCCGCGGGAGACACCGGGGGGGACCTGCTCCAAGCCCTGAGACCTGCAGTCCACCAGGTCAGAGGACTCGTAGCAAAGGCAGGGGCTTGGACACTGCCTGAAGTCCGACATGATGCTCGGAAGCGGCGGCAGCAGCAGCAGCAGAAGCAGGGGAATCAAGCAGAGCATCTTTGTGCGCTCAAAGTGAAGACTCTCCTGCCGAAAGCCATGGCTGACCCTCCTGTGCGTACACACAGCGACACATCGGGAACACGGCGAATATGTTTTGCAAACCGCATAGAAATGTGTCATATTCAGCAGACTCCCGAGGCACACGCATGGAATATTCCCGATTAGACGGGATTATGGGCTTAAACTGATGATCACATAACCAAATCTGGGGAGAGAACCTGCAGTCCGTTTTGAACCCTTTCCCAAATGAAGGATTTACATCTGCTTCTCTATATGGATACATCAAGCGCAGTTGCATGATAGCAGTCGGTTTATCCTGTTTAGTTCTATATTACATAACAACGAACGGATTATCTATAGACCAGTCTATGCAGACAGACCGGACTGAATCTGAGCGCCTTTTGTAAATGCCTAACAGCACAGACACAGGCAGATTTCAACATTGTATCACCCAGAAGTTACTTTATTGCAGTATTTTAGTCCGAATGTTACTTTTGATAATTATGGTTTACAGTTGAGGAAACTTAAAATGTTACTTTTCAGAGTCACATCAGGCAACATCCAGAAACGCTGCACATATTTGCTGCACCAAAACAAGCATCGCTTACTTGTTCGGGGCTCCTTCTGCTTGAAGTGCAGCATCAATGCAGCGTGTAACGGAGATGATCAGCTTGTGGCTCTGATTGTCTCTCGAGTTGGATCTGGTGTCTACTCATCCTCCTCTCCACAATGCTCCACACATTTTCTGTGAGGTTTAGGTCAGTCCAGTTTGCTGACGAATCAATTCCCAGCAATATCCTGATTATTATTTAGCGCTGGTACTTTTGGCTGGATTGGGCCTTGAATACTGCGGCAGACAGCTGCTCTGACAAAACACAGAGGAGCAACAGCAGCAGATGACACGTCCCCAAGTCCTCAGACTGTGGGAACTTGGATTATGTAGCTCTCCAATCTTCCTCCAGAATCTGGGACCTCGATTTCAAACAGACATGGAAGATTCACTTTTTTTTAAATCTCAAAATAGAACTTTGGAAGACTGAACAAACCGGTTCTTTTGGATCAGTTCAGTCAGCTACTTTAGCAGTACCCTTTGGTGGCTTACACCATCATCATCAGTATTGCCAATGATTACATAGGACATCATGTTCTGTATTAAAAACCCTCAATGATTTTCTCTTAGCATTCTAATTTTCAGGTAAACGGAATTTTGGGTTCATTAGCCTAAAAGCCATAATCATCAGAACT